GCTTGACTCAATTATCTATCTATATCTATCTCTTCAATCTATCTGTCACTGGCTTTGTTTGCCGGGCTTATATACTAAAAAAGAGGGCGCCTGGCAAACACTCTGATATTCATGGAGTTCCTCGATAAGTCATGATCCTTCTAGAAACTCCAGCACGCATGCTCCCAGTGTCGCGTGACTTTCGCTGTCGTAACAATATAATTTTGTTGAAATGTTTTGTCATATAACTAGCATTGTGCTTGCCCATAGCTGAAACTGATATATTTGTTTCATTGCATATAAAAAATACAGTTCATTAACATAATGGTGGGGCTATTATACTTATATAATACAGAATGTTACTAATATGTATATAATATTGATATAATAACAAACAGAATTTTTTCAGTCTGATGCATTCTTGACACCACAGAAAAATAACAGTAATTGTTAATTCATTTGATTTTCAACTGATAAACAATATGTCAAACATTATTAACCTATCACAATAATGACTACAAGCTTGTATAACAATAAATTACAATGACTTGTCAGTCTGATGCATGCTTGAAACCAGAAAATAATAATCACTGATATATTTAATTTTATTTTAGAGACAAGATCATGTAAAATCCTTATTACCCCATCATATCATGACTAGACATATTTACTTACTTTTCAACAATGGAAATGTTCTGAAAACTTGTAATTTGTTTTTATAAACTTTAGGCCTAGAAATATGGAGAGATGGAGATAGCCACGAAGAAGTGATCACCAGAATTGCTAAAGCTAACGCCACATTTGGAAGACTCAGAAAATTGCTCAACAATAGAAGTTTGAACATCCAAATGATAGTTAGACTTTATAATTGTCTTGTTACACCTGTCCTGCTGTATGGTTGCAAAATGTGGCAGATGTACAGAAAAGACAAAAAAGTTAAATGCATTCCATATGAACAGTCTGTATCAAAAATTGAAATTATCATGGAAGGATAAAGTGTCAAACATCGAGGTGCTGAAGGATATAGAAATCACAAAAAGAATATTGAGATGGATAGGTCACATTATAAGAATGGATGACACAAGAATTGTGAAGCAAGTGATGAATTGGAAGGTTGGAGTAGAAACAGTGGACAACCAAAGCTCACGTGGAAAAAGTATTGAAAAAATATCAGTGGAAGAACTATCACATGGGAAGAAATGGAAAAGATGGCACTGGATGGAAGAAATTATCATCAATGGACAGCCCAATGTGTCAGGAGACACAGGATGG